TCTTGGGGGGGAGCATCTTTGGGACAACCATGACCTGAATGACTGAGAATCCCCATTGACATTTAGCAGATCAAAAACATACAAAGCAGAGGTGGGTTGATCCCAGTTCAGCCCGGTTCAGCCAAACTGGTAGTGGAATTCAGGCCTGGGTCGCAGAACTGGCAGTGACCTAGGCTTGCCACACCCCCGAATCAGTTCCCTGGCTGTCGCCATTTTGGTTCTTAGTGGCTGTGCATGCGCAGTTCACTGTAAATTGTTCTGTGCATGCCGGTAGTAAAACCAGCAGCAACCCACCCCTGATGCAAATGGGAGTAGATAAATAGGTACCACTTCAGTGGGAAGGTAACAGTGTTCCGTGTGCCTCAGCGTATGGTCATGCTGGTCACATGACCACGGAAGCGTCTCTGGATAATGCTGGCTTCCTCCGCTAGGAAACAGAGATGAGCACTGCCCCATTGAGTCAGTCATGACTGGACAGGGGAAATCTTTACCTTTATTGATAACTGTTAATCCCTATCCTATTTCTCCACATTTATCTTTGTTAAATTTCATTGTCTTTTTCTATCAGTTTTACAGGTGTTTTTCAACTTCATTTTTTTTCCTTTTAGGTTATTAAGTAGTCCATAAAAGTCTGTATTAACTGTTAATTCGATAATTGTTGCCTCCATCGCTTTATGCAGGTCATTCATAAAAGTGCTGAAGAGTAAAGACCTCAGCGCTGAAGCTTTGAACACTCCCTGGCAAGACTTTTCTTTACAAACTCAAGATAACTTCTTCCCTCACTGTTTTGAACTCTAACCCTGACCCTAGGATACAGGTCAATTGGAGGTTTAAATTCATTCATCATAAATAGGAATTCCCTGATCCATATTTCTATCAAATTCAAACTTCATCTTTCACCTTCCTATTTTCATACTGGAGACAAGTTAAACACAAATTACATAGCTTTGCCTATTTTTTTTGTACCGGTTAGCATTTTGCAGTTTTAACAGAGTTGGTGGTAGAGCAAACATTAATCCCTGCAAATCTGCACCACTTTGAATTGTTATCTTCTTTAGAAAGATCAGGTAATGTTCACAAGATGAACTGAATTACTACACTAGTGTCTAATATGCTTGAGATATATACTGTGAAACTAGCATGAGTGTCTAGAATTAACTAGTAGTCTTACCACGGGCTCAGGTGGGAATTTACTACACATGATCATGAGATCCTCAGCTCATCCTTGGATTAAACTATATATTTTAGTTCTTTGTTTGACTGGTTCTACAAAGAGGCAATGGAAGTCTGAAATTATCAAAGGAAATGGTGTATGACTGAATAAAGTGCTACTTTGGAACTGGGCCATACAACTACAGAGAAACCTACGTGACCTTTAGATCTCTGCAGGCTACATTTGGCTGACTATTCACACATATGGTCTTAGGCTGCCCTTCTGGCATTTTGTGATAGCACAAATGTCAGGGCTGAAATCCTATCTGCCTCATAAGTCTAACCAAACATCTGCACAGACTTTATGCGCCAGAGTTCCTGCTGGGAACAGATCTATAAACGTGAGAAATGGTGAATGTGATGTCAAGCATATGGGGAACGGGGCAATTCTTATATGCTCTCAAATCATGTTATGGATTCGCCTTATATAAAAACAGAACAAAAAAATAACATTCAGTCAAGGCTAGAGACTGAATGCAAGCTAAGTAAAAATTCCTGGTATGGGGAGATTTGTCTTGNACATCAGCAGCATGCACTGAAAATGAAGAGAGCATATCCTCACAGACCTATGACAAAATAATCTTAGGAAGCCACAGCAATAGCAGAATCCATCCTTTCGAAAGAAAAATAAAATAAACCCATAGAGACAACACTGGGGGGGGATTAAAGCACCGTTCAAATAATTTAGAGTTATTATACAGAATAAAGTCATAACCTGGTGATTTTTTTTAATCTGCAGAATGCAAGTCATACACCAATAATCTTAAACAATGGTTCTCATTTTTTTCCTTTATTCGGACAAATATCAGGGGCTGAGAATGCAATATCTGTATACACCATGGATATAGAATTCAGTTAGATGGCACTTGATTCCCAAATTAAATCAACTTAATTTTAATGTTTAAAGTCCTGAGAGAGATATGGGAAGAAAGCTATAATCTCATGAAATGTTAATTAGAATGCTAAAATGTTAAAAACAAAACCTGGTGACCTTGAGAAATATTGGCCATTTCAAATGGAATATTACTGATGGTTACAAATGGAGACCTATGATACTCTTGTGGACTTGACAGGTTGGGAACTATTGATTTTAAACAACAGGAAGCCACAGGCTGGTTGTATGTTGGGGAAAGGAAAAGAAAAGAATAATTTGATATGAATTCGATTATCTAGGATTGGGTGGTTCCATTTTACTGCATATTTTCAAGCAGAGGATAGAGAACAATAGGTCAGGTTTGTTCTAATTTGAATTCCTTCACTGACTCCAGAGACTTTGGTCCTGGTGACCTAGATTGCCCTTCCCAACTCCATTAAGATAAAGAACAACTTGTCTCAAAAGTATTCCTATGGATCCAAATGGGAGTTGTCTAATTCCTTCCTTGGTCTTGTTTTCATGAATCATCCTCAAATCTAGATATCTGAAACAGATTCACTACAGTTCCCTTATTTATAGATTTATGCTCCAACGTTTATACTTGTGCAGGTATTCAAGGTAGCCAATATTTTTTAAAAAAAAGAATATTAACATCTGAGGGCACAAATAAGAAAAAGAGATTTTTCCAGGTTTAAAAAAGGTTGATTTAAATCAGGGGTAGTCAACCTTTTTATACCTACCACCCACTTTTGTATCTCTGTTAGTAGTAAAATTTTCTAACCGCCCACC